TGGCCAATTAATTTCTTTTTATTTTTAGTAGAGACAGGGTCTCATTCTTGCTCAGGCTGGTCTCGAACTCCTGACCTCAAACAATCAGCCTGCCTCAGCCTCCCAGAGTGCTAGGATGACAGACGTGAGCCACCTCGCCTGGCTAGACCTTAAGTTTTTACGTCCTATCATATATATATAAATACCTAGACTAGTTTTGGATGCAAATTAGGTACTGAACAGATCTTCTCTCTCCTTTCTTCGTCTTTAGTAGAGGAGAGGAATAAAAGGCCCCATGCCTGAGAGCCAATCCCTGCTCTTCAACTGCATCTGTTAAAACACACTCTCAAAAGGGCTAGAACTGAGGCCACAAAATCTGAAACACTATGCCTAACAGAAAGGAAAATTCACAAGTGACGCACATGATACTGTACACCCAAGTGTACAAGCCAGTGGCTGCAGAAGCTGGTAGTGACTTTTGTCAGGCTCAGTGGAGAAAGAAGCCATTAGTCGAAACCGGTACATCCACCCTAACCCATCCCAGCCCTTTCAGTAAACGATCCTAGGAGAGATGAGACATCATGCATTTTTTTTTTAATATGCCCTGTCTACTGCTGTCTTTTTTTTCTCCTGTTGTCAAGGAAGCCCGAAATGCCTTCAAATTATACAAGAAGCAATAGCAATAGTGTGTTTCTGCAATTTGTAGAAATGTATAAGAAAGAGCTCTGTGAGGTGATGATGTTTTTTTTTGAATCATCTATCCCCTCACTGTACTGACTGAGAACTCCTAACCATTTTAGCAAGCCATCGCGATTACCTGGGCTTTTCTCAGAATGACTCACAGGTACCGTCACCTGAGCCCCGATGCTTTTCTGGGCAACCCCAACCCCATACAGTAAATGCAAAAACACGACAGCAATACAAAGGAGGCAGGAATACGACCTCCTTTCTAGGGCAGAGGGCAACGGAGGGTGTGACCCCTTGCCTACAGATCCCTCTACTTTATTACATATATATTTTTCCCTTGGTGATCCCAGAGTCCACATTTCCAATATATTAAATCGGCAGAGATGGTGTTAGAATACTAACGAAGTTAATTTGTGGTTTCTGCGTGGCGTAGATTGCTGAGCGCTCTTTTAGAGTCTGAAAGGACTTCACACAACATCAAGTCCAATCCCCTCATTTCACCCAAGAGGAAAGAATGGCTCAGAGAGGTCACTGGGCTTACAGAGATCACACAGATAATTAGTGATGACACAGTGACTGAGGTCATTTGGCTCCCAAACGCATTAGCCATTAAGTGCTTTAATTGGGGATGGAAGATAGGGGGGAAATGGTGAAAAAATAAAAAAGAGAGTGTGTTTAGGTTTACTCTTCGTGACCTTAGATTGATGGAAAAATACTATCTATGTAGCCTCAGAGAAAACAAGTTTTGTTTAAAGTCTCCAGTAAAGAGCAGATGGCCCAAATTCTTTAAATATTGTATTCTGGTCCTTTTCCTTCCTTCCTTCATGCTTTCCTGTTAAGCTGGTATGTCTCATATCTCATTAGAGTCTCTACATTAAGAACTCTTAAATATGTCATCTTTAAGACATTTCCTTTTCTCAGTGGGAAGTGATAACTTAAACATGGAACAGATATGAGCAAATTGAGCAGCATTTTTCTCGATATGATGATTAATTGCAATAAGATTAATCCCATGTCTTCCACATAAATAGTCCGCATATAATTTTTCAAGTCTTCTGCAATACTTTTTTGTGAAGTAATACTTAGGAAAACACAGAATACAAGACACTTTTCAGCTGTTATAGATGTGTCATTCGAGCCCTATCATCAAACAGACAGAACAGTATCTAAATATTTTATAATTAATGGATATAATTTTAATATTTTGTATCATGTAGCCTCATTCATATTAAAAAAAAGTTCCCAAGTCCTCTTGAAGGCATAACTTAGGTCTGTAGCTGGATTTAAAAAGTAATGAAATTCATGGCTTAAACTCTAGGAATGAAATAACATCCACGGTGTGATCGAAGGCTAATTTTTGCCAGTGTTTTAAATAAATGTTAGCAATATATAGAGAAATCTTGTGTTAATGATGAGGTTTACGTGGAGAACTTTCTCGGAGTTGAAGTGCATATGTCTTCTTTACTTTGAAAGAGCATTCACCATTTTTATAAGTGCTTCATCCTTGGCTGACCATGCTGGATTTCTCCCCATCTTTAGGTGTCTGGTTCTGAAATAAAAATGAAAGTTGAAAGGTCTTGGAGTGGGAGGAAGGGGCCACTTTAATTGCCTCAGAGAATCTCCTAACCAATTCTCATTTGCCTCATTGGTGTCCTTGGATACAGGAGAATGAAGGGAGGTTGCAAAAAGAAAGTCAAGGAACGAACGTTCGATACGTTACATGCAAAAAAGCCACACAAAAAAGTCGGTGGAGACCAAACGTCCAGAAATTTCACGATAGGCAGGGTTGAGATTCTTTATGACAGTAGTACAACCACTGGTGCACAGTCTCACACACTCTGGGATCAGGTGTTCTTTTGCATGTGTTTTTATTTCGAGGAAATAACGTTTCGTGCATAATAATGACTCGAGACTGGTAAACAAGTCTGGAGACGGCGCAATGGCTGGCTGCAGCTCCCGTCGCCCGGGCTCGCGGGGAGGGAAAACGTGGTCTTCCTCCGCACCCCGGCGGCCCGGAAGCCCTGCGCTGGGCCGGGCGCGGACCGCGGGCGGAGCGGGGCCGCGAGGTCCGGGGCGCACGTGGGAGGGCGCAGCCGCGGTCGCCAGGCAAGGCCACCGCCACCCCCGTGGGCGCAGCGCGGGCCTGGAGCGAGTGGCTCCGGGGAGTCGGGGGAGCGCTCAGCACTCGGGGGCCTTTCCTGCCACCGCGCGCTCTGCGCTTCGCCAGGGCACTAGGCGGTGACCTGTTGGAGGAGAGGGGCGCCCAGGTTGGGTCTCCCCGGCTTCCTTCCCCACGGGCGCCACTGTGTGTCGGAGGGAGAAGAGATGACCCAGGTGTTTGGGACCTGGAGCCGCGGGGAGTGTCTGGAGTCCACACTCAGGACTGATTCCTCGGGGTTCAGAAGGAGGCAGCTTGGGGTGCAGGTGGGACGCTTGGTGCCTTCAGGGAAAAGAGCTCAGGGCTCTGGTTTGGTGTCCCCCAAAAGTTGTTGACCGGAGAGCTGCAGGGGTCGCAGACGCCGGCTTGGAGTTCAAGACCGTGCGGCGCCGCAGATGGCCTTGATCCCAAGTCGCCTGACCCTTCGGGGCCGCGGGTGGCTCCTGTGTCAAGTCAAAAGCAGGAGTGACAGGAGGGCGGAAGGCGCTTCCGACCCCGCGAAGCCTCCTCCAAGGTTGGGGGGAAGTCGGACTTCCCCGGACTGGCGGCGCGCGGGGTCTCCAGGCTTCCGATCGCGGCCCTGCATCTCCGAGCTCCGCCGATGGTTTCGGTGTTGGGGCGCTCCCCAGGGTCGCGGCGTGGCGAGACCCGTTTCCGGGCACGTCCCCCGATACGGTTCTAGATCAGCTCCAGCCCCGCGGTCGGGGAGAGGGGCCGCCGGAAGGGGACTCCCTGCCGTTCCGCGCGCGGCCTGGCCCAGGCGTCCTCACTCCATACCGGTCCCCAGCCCTTCGGGGAGTCCCCCTGCCCTCGGGGTACCCCACTTGCAGACGGCGCTGGGGTGGCGGGACGAGGGAGGGCGGAGCTGCGAACCCGCGGGCAACAGGAGGACCTTTTGGCCCCCCGGGGCGGGGCGCTACCGCGAGAGGGGTTCGCGGGGAAGGGGCGGGTACCGAACTGGGAGACTCGGGCGAGATTTTAAACCTCTTGGCAACAGAGCAAAAAAACCCCCGAGCAAAGGAGTCCGTGCTGTTTTCCGGGGAAATGCAATCCGGCCCCCGCCGGCATCTCCGCGCTGCTCCGCGGTGACGGCGAAGCTCTTCGGAAGCTCTGGGTCTTGCCTGCCAGGGCGTCGCCAGCTTTTCCGCACTGGGGACATTTCGTTCGGGCTCTGCCCAGCCATTGCGCCCAAGGCCCGGGGAGCTCCTCCGTGTCCCCCCCAAACGCCCCGACAAAGTGCCCGCAGGTCCCGCAGCCCCCCATCCCGCGCTCTCCAACAGACCGCCGGGGGCCGCGCTTCTCTTGGATGCGGGTGAAGACTCTTCACGCCCGGGGAGAACCGGCCCCGGCCCGGTGTCCCGCGAGACGCCGTGGCGAGCGCGGTTGCCTCTGTCCCGCACGGCTCCGCCTCTCGCTGCAGGCGGCTGTCCCGGGCAGCCCCAACCTGATTTCCTGCCCCTCGGGGCACGGGCCGGGGCACACCTCTGCGGGTCCCTCCGCCCTCCCCAAGGGGCCAGGAAATGTTCAAATCTCCACTGAATGGCTCAGTTTCAGGGCAGGGTGGGGCGGCGCGGGCGGGGCCAGCGTTGCTCTTAGGATCAATTTCTCCGCGCTCTCAGAGCTTTTGGGCGGATAGAGGGTGAGTTTGCGCGCGTGGTGGACGGAGGGCTTCCCACCGCGCAGACCCACGGCGCCGGGGAGGTGCGGGGCGCGCCCGGCCGGCCCCGCAGACGGGCGAGCGGAGACGCCTGCGGTGGGAACTTTCTGGGGATCGCGCGTGGAGGGAGCTCGGGGAAGGGAGGAAGGAGAGCGGGGCCGGGAGGGGGCCGCGTGGGCGTGGGCTGGGCTGTGGTGGGGGGGGGCGTCCGTGTCCCCGGGTGCCGGGGACGGTCGCGGCGCGGGCGGAGGAAGGAGTGGACCACGTCCCGCAGGCTAATTGGCTTAAGACATTTTGCAAGCGCTGGAAAAGGTCGTTGAAGGAGTTGGCTGCGCGCACACACAGACACACACACACACAAATTCTTAAAAAAAAAAAAAAAAAAAAGCGAGCGAGCCGGGCATGCGCACAGAGAGGATGCCATATTGGAACGAGGCTGTAGTGGGAGCCGGAGGACCGGAGCGGGCGCGCGAGGAGGCGGCGGGCGGGGAGCGGCGAGCGGGCGCGGGCCGGCGCGGGCGGCGACTGAGCGGGGCCGGCGCCCTCCCCGGCGGCGCCCGGGGCCCGGGGTCCACGCCGAGGGCGGCACAAACTTCCCCAGGTAGGAGCCGCGCCGGCCGCTGTCCCCGCGCTCAGCCTGGCCCGTGAGTGGACCTCCGGCCCGCAGGTTGAGTGCGCCGGCCAGCGTCTTTTTTTCCAGCTTAGGAAAAAAAAAGAAAACAAATAAAAAAACGAAGCCCGATGGAGCCGCGGTGGCGGGGTGGGAGGGGGGTTGGGGAGGTGGGTAGCGGAGCCCACGACCAGGGCAGGAGAAGAAAGCGACAGCACTTGAGCGCAGCCCCAAACTCCGCCGCGCGCTCCGGGCTGTCATTTTTCGCTTCTCCGACCCCTTCCCGGGCCTCTGGCCGCCGCGGACAGCCGGGCCCTGCGGGCGGGCGTCCGGAGTTGCAGAGCGCACCCCGCCTCCGGGTGCAGCCCGTCCTCTCCCGCCGCCCACCTTCCTCCCCGTGCACTCATTCGCGCGCGCCGCGCCTGCTGCCTGCCCCGCGCTCCCGCGTCTCCTCCGCGCCGAGGTCTCCTCTTTCTTTCGGTGTGTGTCGGGTGGGGGTGGGGGGAGCATGGGGGTGGGGAGAGAATGAGGTCGTGGGAGAGGGGCCTGGAGCCCAGCCAAGGGGTCAGAAATCGCGCAGACCTCCGATTCGCCCCCTGTGGAAACGTCTGCCTGTGCAGCTGAAATGAAATTGTCACCAGTAGTTTCGGAGCGTGCTCCAGCGAGGACGATCTTTTTGGTCATTTTCCCCCCCCCCTTTAAAGTAATATGCTGTCACTTTGGGCTTTCTTGTCGTCTCCTCTCTCCTACGACCTCTTTTGCAAAATTGCTAACCTGATCTGGCCCTGGAGTTTATTTTTTAACGTGCGTGCGTGTGTGTGCTTTGCTGAAATCCGCCAAAAAGCCGCTGGGCGAGCTGGGAGATGCATTTATTGATTGTGACCCGGGGCGGCGGGAGCGGGTGAGCAGCGGAGGGCGACCCTGGGGGGCGGG